CCTAGAGCAAGGTCAATATTGTGAGCAGGAAACCAGGGATGGGGTAATCGTAATCTGTAATCGATTGTAATTGATTAAACATTTTCGATTACATGTAATCGTAATTTAATCGATTACAGCAAAAATAATGATGTAATCATCGATTACATTTCGATTACTTTAGTAATGTAGTTTAATATAAAACCTAGTTTAAATGAAAATCGACAACTGCATGTAATCATCAGATTAAAGTACTGATAAAATAGAATGCATCAATATTACATGAGAGTTTATCAAATACATTATTTAGATCTGTTGTCTCAAGCTGCATTATGATAAACCAAATCTCCTAGGCTTACAAATTTTACTTTATTTCCAGCTTTTGAAATAAATGACTTCCAATGCTTGTCAATAATTTGAGATATTTTTTATTAAACACAAAAATGTTAAAAATAAGAAAATAGATTCAAAATAGGAAAATACATAAATGTACTTGTAGTCCTAAGTTAAGTTATGTACTATACTACAGAAGAATGCTTTTATATATGTAATAACATTTTTTAAAGCTTAATTTCCAATTATATTTAGAACTTTAGCTTAGAGTAGATAAACTGTTGATTCGTCATAGTGTTATGACATCAAAATTAGGAAAGAATACAAAACATTTTTACAATGAACCAATGCATTGAAATTTTTGTTCAGTAATGGATACATGTATCCCATTGTGTCACTAAAATGTAAATTGTTTATGATTTTGAAAAGAGAACAAAGAATTCTCCAAAAACCTTCTTGTTTTTATAATTACTAATCAGATGAGCAAAGACCTCTAATCAATGAGATACAGACTATGTTTTGATTTCAATTATGTTTAATTAAATGAGAGATTTAATACATGTTGTTGCCCTTAGGTTATAAATTGTTCTCCATTGGCAATTGTATAACCTGTAATTAGGGGGATTATCCAACAAAAAGATAAATTCATTCATGTAACTATAAATTATAAATTTCCATCTTGGATTCCATGGATTGTTGACAACGCAATTCTGAGATTCATAATTAGCATTCAAAAGGCGAAAAGATAGATAGCTATTAAAACAAGACTACATCATGAGCAAACAAGCTCGTCTTCTTCCACAAAGACAGGATATAATATTCACAGAAACTATGATCAAACTAAATCAACATATTTTTCAACATCTTGCACCTATAACAAATTTTCTTGAATGTGGTGAACAAGTGTGGTGGCACTGGGAAAACTATGATGTGGTATTCCATGATGGGCAGGGCCAACAATCCTCAAGACCAGAAGGTTCAACATTGTCCCATTTCAGAGACCAACCTATTAAATCTGAAATAGTAAAATATAAATACAAAATGGGGGAATTGTCTTGTCAAGTTTCAAATCAATGATTTTTCACTGCCTCTCACTATGGCAAAAATATTTTGGTCAACCCTAAAATGCAGGACAGGTGTGACATGTAAGACATTTGTATATATAGTCGTCACATTATTTCCATGTTATTTGTATAACAATAACAAGAACAAAAATTATTACGTTCGAACACAAATACAGAAATCAGGAAGCATAAGATAATTTGTTTGTTTTTGTAGCAATAGTTTCCTTTTACATTTTATACAATATGATAAATTTCAAGTTCACTTTTACAAACAGGATGGTTGATATGTAATCATGCCATACAATGATATCCTTTGGTTAAAACATTATAATTGAATGTCATTTTGTCTCTATGGAGATTCCATTGACAATCACATCACACTTTATTTTCATAATTACCCTTGAAGTCATTAAAAGGAAGGCGAAAGATACCACAGGGACAGTCAAACTCATACATTGAAAATAAACTGATATTATAAAAACTTCTGAATATTTCACACAACGTGCAACTACATTTAAATCTTTACATATCTGAACTTACTTTGCAGATGTGACTTTTCCAACAAAAACTCAGCAATCCAGCCATGACAGTTGTACAAACAGAAAACAACAATGAACTGATTGGTAAGACTATTTTGGTGTTTTAAGTGGATTTACAGACTTCTTTTAGCATGTTTTTTTTTCAAAGCATGTAAAGATTTTATGAGTGCATGTATCAACTGTTTGAAATAAAAGTCTTGTATAAATCAATATCAGTTCTTCAAATTACCTATGATATTTATCTTTTTCAGATGACAGTTGTACAAATAGGTCAACAGAGCTGGAAAAAGAAAGCAACAATAACATGAACGGTAAGAATATTTTGATGTACCCTTTTCCTCCATCTATCTTAGGTATCATTTGTTTTTGGTACCATATATATAAAAGGAGACCAATGGTTGGAAGAAGGTTTGTGTACCAGAACCAACTTATCGTTTTGATAGACATGCAGTCAAACTCATAGCTCCCAGCATAGATGAGAAATCACAGGATGATCTTGATGTCCAAACTAGAGGACATCCAAATAACCAGGTTGTCCAGGACATTCTAAGCCATACCATTGGGCCTTTTCCAAAACTAGTATGCAACATTATTAGCATCCCAATGTTGGTTCATAGATGCTTGAGACATGCTATTTGTATATTCATGGGAGAAATGGAACATGATCACCAGGGCCCCAAACTTATAAGTCATATATCTGATTGAATATGAACCACATGTATCAATTTCCAGCTTAGTAGACCACATTAATAGAATTAACTGTGTTCCAAGTGAAAAAAATTCTGTTGAAATATATACATTAAAATCAAATAAAAGGATCGAGTACTGAAAATTACGTGGAATTTGATTTCCATGATATGAAGCCTCAATTACAGGTTAATACAAACGTGCCGCTGGAATAAGTCGCTTTTTCAACTTGTCAAATGTATGACTGGGTCAGAAATTTCGGGATTTTCGGTCTTGGGCAATATATAAATGGGGGTGTTTTTTTTTAAATTCCAGCGGCACCCGTACCCACTTTTAACCAAAGTGACAAGGTGAGGAAGCAACAACCTACTGTCACCCATTTGGGAAATATGTCCCAATTTGGCTACAGTATCCCGATCGAGTAACATTTAATCTCCATGTTTCCCAATCGGGCTACATTTTATTTGCAGTATTTTCCCGATGGGGAATCATTGCCATTAGTTCCGGAATTTTTTTTTTTTTTTTTTGGCCGGCCAAAATAAAAAAATATCCCCAGGGCTCAAATTTACACCATTTGGTGGAACTATCCTCCTTACAGACTGGTTACAGTGTTTCCAGGTGAGAAAGCAGCAACTTGCCCCAAGTTGGCTACAGTATCTCGATCGAGTAACATTTAATCTTCATGTTTTCTAATCGGGTATACATCTTGTCATTGTGCTATTGTTAAATATTTGTATTTTTGTCTTTCATTTTTGCTAATGTGCCTTATCTATATGTCTCTTCGTTTTTCTATGATACATATGACGTGGCTCTGTACTTATACATCCTATTATTGTGCAATGATAACTTTTTGTATTCTTGTTTTTTATTTTTTCTAATGTGCTTTGCCTATATGCCTTTTTGTGCTTCTTTGTTTTTATAGTGATTAAGATTATAACACAATGTTTACTACTATTCCCCTATTTTTAACATTTTTACCCATTTTATCGCACCGTCAATTCATAAATATCTTAGAGAAATGAAAGCTTCAGACCAAATGCAATCTGCAACTTCCTTAATAATAATGCCCGATGGAAGGAACACTATTACCAGACACCTTCCTATCAAAGGACAAGGCGAGCATTATCTGTCATTGACGTATAACCACATTGCCTAACACAGAATTGCAAAAGACAGTTCACAACATCATTAGGGTTATATATATGAAAATGAGGAATGTGTCAATGAGATAACCCAACCAAAATGCAGAAAACAGCCGAAGGCCAGCAATGGGTCTTCAGAAAATCCCGCACCCGGAAGCGGGCTTCAGCTGGCCATTAAACAAAAATGTGTACTAGTTCAGCAAATTGATTTGTTTTCATCTATGATCTGTTAATTTATTGTTTGTACTGTTTCAGGATGCAGTCACAATTCTGTGCAATTTAAAAATATCTAATCATTAAATATATAAAGAACTTTGGTATGAAATCAATAAGAAAATTACTGACACACACGAATAAATAAAACTTGGGGGTAAACGTTAACGTCGAAATAGGTAAACAACAAAGCGTCTGCATAAAACAAATTGTTATGGTGTATGTCAATCAACTTTTACAAAAATGTCTCTTCTAAAACTACTTCGCCAAATTGGACGAATTATAGGATGTAAATTTTCCACTTTTTACACTTATTTCAGGTTTTATGCGGTCCAAGAAGAACAAGTGGCATAGGTCTCACCGGTGGTGTGAGTTTGTAGTGACTATGGTCCTTCATGGGAAAATTCTCAAAAATTACAAAAGAAATGACTCCAGGAAAACGGATAGACCTCTTGACTGACGCTTTAATATATCATGGGTGTAGAATAAGAAACACGCTCAGTAAGATATTTTTTTACTATGAATAAAATAAAATGAGTTATACTTGAGATATATGAATAGCTGTGTTACAATTATGTGAAATGGTTGAAATTTTAATTTACAAATGTGTATATATATATATATTGTAATAAAATATGATTGGTGTACCTTGGATAAGGGAGGTACGTGTTTCAAACAAGTTAATTGATACAGGTTGCTTTATTGTTCGATTTTTGTTGTTGCAATTTTTGAGAAGTGGATAAGGGTCCAAGACTAGTTATAACATTTTCATAAAATGCTATTAACGAATATTGCTTTTAAAATTTAAATATTTTCTAAACCTATTCCATAAATCATAAAGGCCCAGTTGATTGCTGATTACTTACTACTTCTAAAAGATGTTTCTAGTTGAAGAAATAAAAATCAAACCTTCCAATTTATGGTCCAAAATTTAGGTGTCCTTGTAATATGTACAAAAGAGTGTTTGTAATATCTAACCTTTAAACGTTTTTGAATTTGATTATGAGATAGTATTATACCAACTATGTTTAAGGCAAATAAAACTAATTATTTCCTAGAATAGGAATGTGTGAATTGTTATTACAATTATATTTAGTTATTTGAACAGTGACCCATTATAATTTGTCATCTATTTGGGTAACAAGATTAAAATTCACTTTTATAAGAAGTATATTTGAGGAATAGCTACTGAAAACATCTTTCACTTTAATATGTATAAAAAAGATGTAGTATGATTGCCAATGAGACAACTCTCCACAAGAGACCAAATGACACAGAAATTAACAACTATAGGTCACCGTACGGTCACCAACAATGAGCAAAGCCCATACCTCATAGTCGGCTATAAAAGGCCCCTAAATCACAAATGTAAAACAATTCAAACGAGAAAACTAACGGCCTAATTTATGTACAAAAAATGAACGAAAAACAAATTTGTAACACATCAACAAACGACAACCACTGAATTGGCACAGGCACATACATACAGAATGTGGCGGTGTTAAACATGTTAGCGGGATCCATACCCTCCCCCTAACCTGGGACAGTGGTGTAACAGTACAACATAAGAACGAACTATAAAAATCAGTTGAAAAAAGCTTAACTCATCAGAGGGATACAAATAGAAATACATCTAACATAAACACAGGGTGGACGTGGCCGGGTACTTGTATATCCCAACTACAAAAAGAAAATAAGTACTGACTGATCTGAGAGTACTCGCAGCATATTACTGACAGCTAGTTCAAAGCCTCTAACAACTAATAAAAAAAAATCATGCATCTAAGACTAAATGTGTATATTTCAGGTCAAAGTCTACCTTGGAGAATGGAAAAGGCCATCTTTCTAGAAAACACAAGCAGTACAATCATGGAGGAACTTTTAAAACCATTGTCAGGTTTTGTCACCTTTTTAACGACCTTACATTGTCATTCATTTTCAAAAGTTTTATTGAGATCTTCTTAAAGTTAACATTGATGAATATTTTTTCGTAACAATTTTGTGTTGTTAAATAGCAAGTCAGCACTTATCTATTGATTTGATATATCATTGATACATTCATATATTGTAAATTACTTTTTTACAAAGTATAGTATGGAATAAAAATCCACGGTATATTTAATCTTTTCCAATGTTCAATATTTAATTCATAGTTATATTTAAACTGAACAAAAACGTTGAATAGTAATACAATCAATTATGCATTAGTTACAAGAAATAAACTTTCTTTACACTTATTTTTCAAAGTATTCTAATATCAAATTATTGTTGTATAAAAAGTCATTATTAGTTACGTCATGTGTTTAAATGAATACATGTATTAAGAGCAATTCTCTGTAATTACCAAAGAAATTCTGAATAGGCCTGGCACACAGGGTCTCAGATTTTGATAAAACTTTGTTATTATACTTAGTACCACTCAATAGAAACTTACCTGGAAAGATTTTATGGATGGTGCGTGTGGTTGCTATGGTTACCATTATGGCTGATTTTGACCACTCAAAATCTCAGAAAAATGCCCAATATTGACATTTTCGGACTTAAATAATAATAGTTTAGACAACTAATAAACATTTTCCAGATATAATATGTAAAACAATCATATATATTTCTTGGATTAAGCACATACTTTCAGTTTTTACATTTAGCATACATTTACGAAACAGAGCCATATGACACCCCTGATTCATTATTTGTCAATTTTCGGGAAAAAGTGAAATAATGACAACTTTGGACCCATTGTTCTATGAAAAGCCTGCATCATGAAGTATTATGTATCATAAACCTAGGTAGTACTAAGATAGTATTACAAAATGAGAAAAAAAAATCCATGGGCAAATTATGGCAAAAAAAAAAAATTATTCAAAATAAAATGTCAAGAATTTCAATTTTTTATTTTTTGAAATTTTTGAAAAAGATCATCAGACACATTAAACTACATGATAAACACAAATAAATACGAGCATATTCAGCCCTTAAAGTGAAAATAACATAACAATGACATATACTGATAGTTTAAGGATGGTGACTTTTTAATTTTGGACAAATTATTCAAAATTCTCAGGGTTTATCCATCTAAACTATGGTATATATATTTTTTCCCCTCATCAGCCCTTTATCTTTCATTTATATCATGTATATGTTAGAAACATAAAAACAAGTTTAGTAAGATAGTTTGAGAACATTCTATAAATTATCTTAAAATTTTATAAGACTTTAAAGATTCATGAAAATATCCATTATAACTGATGAAAAATCTAGAGAAGTTCGGTTTCCCGCCAAAATATTTTCATATCGCCTACAAAATTGTCTTATACTATTATTAATGTCATCCTCTTACTAAATACAATAAGTATTTGAAAATAGTCATATTAGTAACCATACTTCATGTTCCTTAAAAAAAAGATCTGTTTGGATAGTAGTTGCTACATATGGTAACCTTTATCCCACAATAATTACTAAAAGAACCTATTTGAAAATAACTTCCATTATTGACATCAAACTTAGCATATCATCATGATCATGTTAACTATACAAACAAATATCAAGGTATAAGTCAAGTAAGCCTGTAAAATGTAGACCATAGTGACCAAACTATTCTTGAATGCTAACATATTATCATAAATATATTGATTGATCTGAAAATAATTTCAAAAAGGCATACAAGTTCATCATTCTACAAATGTTTCCCTGTTACTGAAAAATAAGCAAAACTCTGTTACAGAGAAGGGTTAAATGTGTGTTCTAATTGGTATGACCTGCAGATGAGATAATCACATGCTTGCACATCAAATTAAGGAGAAAACCAATCCCAAGACAACTAATTTGCAGTGGCATAACCCAGAAACCTTAAACTTAGATGTGAGTCTTCCATGGAAGACGTGTGTTGCCTACCGTTTACAACTATTACGTAATTTTTTGCATATGTACATGTATGACCAGTGTTATGTGAAAATTTCAAAGTATTCGAAAAACAGAAAGTTGGTATTGCAGACACCTGAAAAGGGCAGACACATTGCAAGTCATCATGTTAAAGCCATGTACCAAATATCCAAGTATTCCCTAAAGAAGAATCTTGGAAAACTGTAACGGAAATATCCATTATGCAGCACCTAAAAAACTACAAAGTCGATCGATAAACAGGAAGTAGATAAGCAACGAACCTGAAAAGGGGCTGCAAGTGACTATGTCAAAGTCATGTACCAAATATCTAATTATCCATCCAGTAGAAGCTGAGAAATTGGAAATGGAAAAGTGTGACGTCATCGACCATGACTAAAGTGATCCCTATATGCATGATATGTCGGTTCACATAAAATGTGCAGGCCACACTAATATGTTGTTGATGACGAGTTTTTAGGTTAAAAAATAATGATAATATATAAGTATAGAAGTAGAAAAGTAAAAAAAAAATCTATTTCCAATAAAGCACATAACCCTCAAAGTTCTTGTTATTAAATGTCAATAGTTTTAGTGATCCCTTTTTTAAAACTAGATCTTCTGTTTTCCTCATCTGCAGCACGGTAGTCATTGCTGTCTGATTTTCTGTCTTGTTGAGCAAGTCTACAAAAATAACTTCCAATCTGTTGGCCTGTTAAAAATTCGTCCTTCGAAAATCCAAGGTGACCTGACCTCATTTCTTCAGAAGCTGTGTTGGCATCAACCTTACTGCCAGTTCTTTTGCCAATTTGAAATTTCTCAATCATAAAGTCTTTCTGCTTTTGATTGAAAACTGTTTTCTTCTTTTTTGATTTCAAAGCCCATCCACAACACCTATTGACCAAACTGTCATCTTCAAAAACATTTTCAGCAGTCATATCTGGGCAACACAAAGGAGCATTTGATAATTTCTTAGCATATATAATTTTGCTTTTGTCAGACAATGCCTCTTTTTCTAACTGATGTTCACATTGTCCTTGCAAGATGTGCTGATCTAGTGTTTCTTTTTTTTAAATTCACGGATGCAGTTCTCCAAAGGGCATATCAAATTTTGTCTGTGTTTTGTTGTTGTTGGTACTGGATCTACAGAAAATAAATGTAAAAGTTACTAATATATACATATATATCATAGAATAAAATAGCAGCCTTATCATAATATCTACTTAATAAACGAACTTGTATAATCACATGTGGGAAATGAATTCCTACAGAGACAATCAATGTTGACGTCAATGAAAAAGAAAATGTAGTTTCCATTTCATAACTGATGAAAATGGTTCATTAGTCAAATTACTTTTTATACGATTTGATGAATCAAAATGGGGTTTAGAGTATCTATACTATTAAATGAGAAGACCTCATTTTGTGAGTCGCTTCTCTTCCTTCCACAATAAATTAATCATCATTCCCCTGTGTCCTATAGGTACCATGCATAGTCGCATTTGTCATCCATGATTATGATTATTCACTTTGGGTTATTTTGGGAGAAAAACGAAAAAAAAGGCATCCGGATATTGTTTCAGTCATCCGACAGACTTTTAAGTCATAAACAATACTTCCGTTTAGAAATGTTTAAAAATAGCACATAATTTTCAAAAATACTTGGGACAGGACAATTATTTTCAAGGTTTTCTGTATACTATGATCATACATATATTATAAAAAAAAATGTATTTGCTATTTACTATCAATTCCAAGTTTACTATCCACGGCGGTCGCTGATATATTTTATAAAGAGTCTCTAAATGATACTACATCAGTGACTGCCGTGGATAGTAGATTAGGAATTGATAGTAAATCTGAGTAGTAAATAGCAAATTAATTTTTATTTTTAGTATATGTATCATGTGTATGTTCATAGTAGAGAGAAAAACAGAAAACAAGCAATAACGGACTTTGGAAAAAGAGGGGAATGTCTAAAACAAAATCATGTCCTGTCAACACGGCACCGGCAGGCTAAGACTTTTGATACCTTTTCTGAAATAAGCCAGTCATAAAATATTTTACGCAAATTCATACTATCAACAGTTTACATACTTTCAACCACTCACTAAATGCCTGCCATTTCGCGGGTGTGTTCTGGTATATATAATAACAATATGTTAAAATATACTTTTTCACTGTTTGTGCTGTATTTAGACCCCTCAACCAAGAAATTTGTTTTGCATACATGATGTATAAAAACTTGCGTTTTTTATCCAACACAATCATATGTATGACTGTTGTTTTGAATTTAGACTTGCATATCATAACAATATATACTACCAAATATCAAAGCTTACCTTCATAGGAATCTGATATTGCTATGTCAGTCCAATCACTGATGACCTTTAACTGCACAGCATTCTTAGATGGCTTGAGGGAATCCCACTGCACCAATTTCCCTGTAAACAATGAATGTACATTATATAACGTTTGTCTCTTCTCTTGTGGGACATTCATGAACACAAATAGCTCTTTTTTTGTATCAAAATTCACAATGTCACAGGATCATTGTTAAAGTAGTTGCTTATCAAATTTTGTAAGAGTTATGGGACTTTGACCAAGTTCATAAAATGTCAAACAGATATTTTTATATTGTTATATGTATCCATCCCATCATTGCAATTATTTAACCCATCCTGAAATACAGTAAGAACTAAATAAAATGTTGTTGAATTGAGACTTTTTATTGGATACAATTGATACATGTAGATGTCATTCATACTGGTAATTGTGAAACAAGTTTAGTATATATAGAATAACCATACATTGTCTGGAAATATCAATGTTATTTGTACAAGGCTTAGAAACAGGTAGAAAGCAAGGCTGTGCCGAGCATTTCTACCTGTTTCGAGCCGAGTACAAATAGCATTGACATTTCGAGACAATGTATGGTTATTCTTTATATACTGCAACTCTTATAACTGTTCTAAAGGAAAGAACCTTAGTGAGCGCTCTCACATACCCCACGTCCCCACATTGTCATTGGAGAAATAAAATAAGTGTAAGAAAAAAAAATTGTATCAGAAAAAAAATTGAATCATAATTTCCTGTCAATATGCACATCTACATAGTATGTCCTTATTATCTACAGTTTCATGAAATTCTGTTGTATGGTTTGAGAGGAGTTGCGATGACAAAAGGTTGCAGTAGTATATTGGGCTAATAAGTTCAAAGGGGCGTAACTCCTGGAAAAAAAATTGAATCGTAATTTCCTGTCGATATGCACATCTACGTAGTATGTCCTTATTATCTGAAAAGGTTTCATGAAATTCTGTTGTGTGGTTTGAGAGGAGTTGCGATGACAAACTGTTGCAGTAGTACATTAAAGTAAATAAGTTCAAATGGGCGTAACTCCTAGAAAAAAAATTGAATCGCAATTTCCTGTCGATATGCACAACTACATAGTATGTCCTTATTATCTAAAAAGGTTTCGTGAAATTCTGTTGGGTGGTTTGAGAGGAGTTGCGATGACAAGAAACAGGACTGACGGACTGACGGATGGACTGACGGACGGACTGACGGGTCAAAAACATTATACCCTCCGCAACCCGTTGCATGGGGTATAATGAAGTATTTAGGGTAAAAACCATCATTTCTTAATTTTGAGCGGAAGACGTAAAATTTCCGGGAACCTGTATGTTTTATTGACGTCATAAATAAAACTCTACGGAAACACATTGTTAACGTCATAAACAAGGCGATATACGGTCAGTGACTGTATATCACATATGAATATACAGTCAATGCAATTTGACTGCTCAAATAGCACAGCTGCAGTATATATTGTATTACCTTCACCAATGTTGTATGCCTGCCACATTCTCAGGCCATCATCTCCAAAATTAAAGTTGTAGAAATTGGAGACATTCTTTATTGACTCTTTATGTTTTTCTGCATCCAGATCTAAAACGGTGTCAACTACTCTTACTCTGTATGTTTTTTGTCCAAATTTCTCTAGGGCCTGAAAAAATAACAGAATAACTTTTATGTTCAAGAAAAAACTATTTCATATAATCATGTGATAATAATTTTACTCATTGAAATAGACATAATTCAGGGCCCAAACACAAAAATTCCATCAAAAAGTCAATCATTTTACATTGAGGTAATGTTTAGTTTTATAGAATTATCCAACATTGGGTACCCCAATATCAATATCTTGGTTTTATGCTCACATGACAAATGTTTGATGGCACATTAATTTACCCTTGTCTGTCTGTTTTTTTTTTTTTAGATCATCAGGATATAGATACATGGTTTGTCCGACTATCTTTTCCTTCATTGTGTATCCACTTTTTAAATAATGCTTTGAATAATACCTTTTTCATATCAAGTGCAGAAGTGACGTCTCTTCCTTCATTAATAAATCTTTTTATGACAAATTTGGCATGGGCGGCTCTTCTATCACAAGGACCTGCAAAAAAGCATAGTGAATTTATTTCTGCCTGCATTAATAAATATGACATATTATGAGCTTCAAATCTAGGTCACAGTGATCTAATTTCATAAGAATGCAACCGTACTACTGCAAATGTTTCTGTGTATAAGTTACATTATCCAACTAATTATGAGTGCTGAGATTGTGATATGAACTAGAACGTAAATAATATGATAATAAAGCACATATTACAAGTTAATTATCTCCCTTTATTATTTTTTTCTTTCATGCACACCCCATGTAGTGTTCTTCAACTGTGCAAAGTTTCATCGATACCCCACTCGTCCACATATAAATTTCATGGTTTTTTTTCCCCTCCCGATATATTCCAAGCAAATTCAGGGTATAATAAAACTTCTTTATTCTCATCTACATATTATGAACCTCCTTTTGGTAAAGCTTCATTAAATACAATTGAACAGCTTACGAGGAATCGCCCAAACTGTTTGCAAGGGTGTAGGGTTTTATTATCAAGATTATGTTATGTTACCTTTCCCATTCTGGGCTTCACTAAAGTTATACGATGCCAGTGCTTTCCCAATGTCATGTCTTAGAGTTGACAATGTTAATGAACTCTTGTAACAACCTGCGTTATCACTAAATATGTGGACATTCTGTAGATTTGGAAGGATTGTCTTCAAGTCCTGAACCACATCTGTCATTACCGCGGTAGTAACTGCAGCATCTTGAGATGTTTGTGAGCTGAAGATGTGAAGATGGGTTAAAGTTTGCATTCTTTGTTGTAGTTTTATCAAGGAGACAGACACATGCCAGTTGATGCCCCGTTTGGCAAACCTGTCTAACTGTCCCTCTCGATAGTGTTTTGGTAAAAAGTTCATTGCCCAGTCTGATGTGATAATGACATCATTTATTTCCATGTTGTCAGCTATATCCTTCCTGGCAAATTCTTGGTTCTTTGATCTAACAATGTGTTTTTGGAGGTTTTTGATATCATTTACAGCCTTCTCTACCTATAAAGTAAAAAAAAATGTTACTTTCTAAAAATTTATGAATACAGGAGAAGTGTTACATCAAAAGTATTGTTATAACAATGTCATACTATGTTTAAATCACAGAGATTAGTCTGGCTTGTTACAGAGGAAGATATGAAGTCGTAGGTTTAACCAAATATTGAGGCCCACCATGGTTACAAAAGACAAAATATCTATATAAAACTTGAGGTTATCATAAACTTAAGTTAAGAAAAGAATGTGTCTGAAACACACGGATGACCCTCATGGACTAACTTGAAAAAAAACATACATGGAATCTGGCTGATCTGTGTATTAAGGATAAAAGCATTGTAAACAAAATGGAGTGTTTTGCATGTGGATTAAAAAGTTTGTTGTGAAGTCTGTTAGGAATATAAATGTCATTTATATTAGTCAAAGACCACTTGTGGTTAGATATAGAAAACAAATTCCATATTGTAATGCAACTAGAAAAATGGCCTGTTTGAATGGGAGCAAACTTGAGTTATCGTACAACAACGAAAACTGTGACTGACAGACAAACTAATTACTATATGGGGTGTCCAACACCAAGTGTCGCACGGGCCCGTATAATAACATTATGATAATTACCTTAAACATAAGAGCATCTTTATTTTCGATCTGCTTTTTCTCAGCATTTTCAAGAACTTTCTGTAATGTTTCATCTAAGTCTATACAGCTTTGACAATGCTGGCTATGAATGTGCTGACAATGAAGCTGAAATTCAATTCCTGGAACACTCAGTGCAAATCCCAAACAATGCTGTATATCATTGGTTTGCCTGGCTAAATGTTCCTAAAATACAAAATGGATAATATTTAAAAAGTGTAAAAATAGTATATAATAGAATTTTCAGATGCCATAACTCCAAAGACTAATCCTGTATTATACATGCAATTTAATATTACATCAAACTTGATTGATCCACAAAGTAAAATTCATGGCATCAATTACAGGATTTACAACATGAGATGTAATGTGCATGCTCAGAGGACATAATATAGGTTTAGAAAAAAAGGATAACAAACTAATTTGCAAACATCAAATCATCTAATTGATGCCATAACATTTAAAAACAATTCTTATATGATTTACATATTAGGGCATACGTTGATATGATTGGTCGAGAGGACTTCAATAGTTGTTCTTGAAGTTGTTTATTTTTCGATAGACGACGTTGACCGAACTGCCTTTCGTAACAAATGTAAACAAGATGGCGGCAATAATAATACAATCCGGCTCGACGTTAACAAAATTTATTTTTACTTCGCGTTATAAACACAAAACATTCATTTTGACTTCTCTTGAACTGAATTTTAATGTGCGTATTGTTATGCGTTTACTTTTCTACATTGGCTAGAGGTATTGGGGGAGGGTTGATATCTCATAAACATGTTTAACCCCGCCGCATTTTTGCGCCTGTCCCAAGTCAGGAGCCTCTAGCCTTTGTCAGTCTTGTATTATTTTTAATTTTAGTTTCTTGTGTACAATTTGGAGTTTAGTATGGCGTTCATTATCACTGAACTAGTATATATATTTGTTTAGGGGCCAGCTGAAGGACGCCTCCGGGTGCGGGAATTTCTCGCTGCATTGAAGACCTGTTGGTGACCTTCTGCTGTTGTCTGTTCTATGGTCGGGTTGTTGTCTCTTTGACACATTCCCCATTTCCATTCTCAATTTTATTTGAATGATTATAACAATTTTTGCAGTTTATTTATTATCAGATAGGAAATTTCATGGAGTACATTTTTTTGCGTTTACCAACAAATATATTCATGTGCCAGACCAATTCAATGACACAAATATACAATTTGTGTGTGGTAGAGGTTACGAGTGTGGGAAAATGAATTCCTTATCTCCATTTTTAAAGAATCATAAGGATTAAACGCCTTTTTAAAGTAATTTATTGGTGTATAAACTGGACAAAGTCACTCACAAACATATCATAAAAGTCCTTCGGACTTTTATTTGTTTGTGAGTGAATT